AGATAGATAGATAGATAGATAGATAGATAGATAGATAGATAGATAGATAGATAGATAGATAGATAGATAGATAGATAGATAGATAGATAGATAGATTTTGAGGCCTTTTATTGTGTTTATTGCTAACTAGCAAGTGTTAGCATACAAACAAAACCACTGCTTTTGATATGATATGATAAAAATGATAAAAACATGATAAAAAAGATCTTTCTCAAAATAAGCATCCTGTCACTGTAACCTGTTTTCATTCCAAGAGTGTCTAATAACTCGTGTTCATAAAGCTGCAGGCATCACCTGTGCATGTGAAGTAATATTATTTGCTTGTGACTATCTGGCAAGAACAGCTATGTTCTTCAGCATGTTTTCTCCTGAATATTCCCTCTCTGCTCTCGCTGCCTCTGCTCACAAGCCTCCACCTCATCCTCGTCTTCTCCCACCGTGCCATGAGACTTCAGGTGCAGGGGAACGTGCGCTTCTTCCTTAAAAGCATGTGAGCTGCCAAGTCCTCAGGCTGTTATGTAATAAAGCTGCTTCTCCCTGGCAAGAGAGCAGAAAGAAGAACAATTTTTCCCTCTCTCTGTGTCTCTCTGCATAGTTCTCATCTTCTTCCCGCTCTCTGTTTGTGTCACCTTCCACTCATAAGCACAGATTAAAAATGGGGTTGTTAGGCGAGGAAATGATGGACATTTGGACACGTTTCATTCAGTCTTAGGCACTGGATGAATTGTGCTTAAAGTTTAAGCATCCATTGCACATGCAGTGTTTTTACTTAATCACGGTTTAAGGCACGTATTGGGATTTAATAAAAGCATTTTCTGCACGGTAATTGTCACAAGTACAAAGCCAATGCATCCTTCTTTGTCTGCTAGCTTCCCTAGAAACTTCATTTGGAGGTGCATTTAACAGTCTGTCCATTAATTGTTTGTAGTGTTGCCTGAAAAAAAGGCAAATGAGGAAAGTGATTATTAACTTTCTTAAATCAAAACAATCAATCTCAGACATCATCATTGCTAAATACCCTTAAAGGGCACATATCATGTTGCTGTTAAGAAACCAGCTTCCATTTTTGGTAATATAAGTGGAACTTGATAAATGTCTCAGGCAATCATTTAGAATGGCCCTCAGTGGCTACCATCTATTGTGACTGCAGAGAAACAAAACTGAATAAATCAGAACAGTCAAGTTGCAAACTCTCAGAGTCACATTTTAAGCATACAAGTAGTGGAGTTATACATAAAGTAAATGGATTTTGTCATTCGCCAACAATGACATTATCAGCCTCAACAATGTATTGTGTTACCACAAGAAAACAATAAGATTAACACTGTGCCTGGAGTACATGATTATAAATTTAAGGCATTTCTAAACTAAATCTCTATTTCTCATTGAAGTTAACATCCTCCACATTGAGATGATGAAGACTTTGGTTCATGGGGAAGAAAAGGAGGAATCTTTCTCGCACACATCCAAGTTGTGTCACGTCCAATTCTTCAGGGCCTAAATTCTTAAGCAATGGCCATATCAGGGACCCACATCTCCTGAGATTTCTATTAGCTCTCTCTCTCTCTCTGCTTGCTCGTGTTTGCTTCAGCTTCTCACTCCATAGAT